CCCCAAAACCCCAAAACCCCAAAACCCCTTATAAGATTTTACAATTTGAAAGCACAAAATTTTAATAAAATGGCAAATTTAGGTGAAAATACATCTAACAAAAGTCGTGTTAAACAAGGAAGGGAAAAGGTAATTCAAATAAAGCTAAGATGTAGGTGTACCAAGTCAGTGAAGAACCAGAGGAGAGAAAGGTCTCTTCCTATTCTGATGACGAAGCTAATCTTGACTCTTCTGTTGATCAATCTCAAAGTTTCAGGATTCCTAAGAGTAAAATAATTGACAACAGGTTAAAAACAAATCAGTTTTCTCAGATTGATGCTTCAAAGAAGAGAAAGCGATCAAAGTCTGCTAGTCATTCAGAGATGTGTGAGAGTTGCAGCCAGTGAATAGATACTTTGAGTCTGAAAAGATCCGACTCTCTTGTGATAAACTACTCCAAAGACTACCTCAAAGACATTCCTGGTGACAAGATAATAGCCATGATAAAGGAGACTCATCCTGAATATTTTGATAGTAGAAATAATCTCACGATAGAATCTCTCACCGAATTGTTGAGATATGGAGCGAAACTTAATCATTGAGACTGCATCGGAGATGATATCTTACTTGAGCTAGCACAGATTTTGGATTTGCCTATCAAGCTTTCCAACAAATACATTAAGCATCTTGCTAAGGTAGTGAATACTTTATCAGGAGACAGTATGAAGAACGGAACTCTTTCAAGGGGACAGTATGGGCAACGAAGGAATGCACTTGTAGTCAACACAGATGTTAGATTGTTGCATAAAATCGATTCAAAGAAGAATATGACAGTGAACTACAATCATGAAGAGCAAAAAGGCAATGTTGGTGATGCCAAGAATCAGGAAAAAGCTGTTAAAAAGAAATCTTGGTGTCCAAAATTTGCTAGGGCGAGTCATAGATACACAATTGTGAATATCCTTTTCGTCTGCCTATCCATTGTCCTTTTCTGTATTTTTGGTACGGTAACATTGTTTTCAGATGCTTATGATCTCATGGGTGTGCCATTGATTTTTAGCAGAGGATCTGCCTTGGCAATCCTGGTCTTTACAATGCTGGCAATGTTTTTTGTTTCTTATGATCTTACTACATTGATCAGAAAATATACCAAGAGAAGATGTTCAACAATATTTGATTTCCAAATACTTTTTCACAGATTTTGCGGATATATAATAATGGTTTATTCGATAATTCATACGATTGGCCATCTTTTAGGTAGCTTCAGAGCAATTAGCCAGGAGAAGGATGTTGAAAAGGTGAATGAAGTCTTGTCCAGACATGAGTTCGATGAACACAAATCCTATCATCTCCTTCTGTTCACCACTCTTCCAGGAGTAACTGGAATCTTGCTCCTTTTTATCATAGTCGCTATGGGAATTACAGGAATGAAGAAAATAAGGCACAGAGCCTTCCAGCTCTTTGCCATTGTGCACGTATTCGGCTTCCCATTGTTTATATTGCTAATAATTGCTCACGGGTGCCAATCTTGGTTGAATTATGGATTCCCCCTGGGATCCATAACTGTATTATTCTCTTTGATAATTTATTTAATTTATATCATCAGAAGAACTTGGGTCCAGTGAAAACAGGAGTTCGAAATTATCAAGAGCTCTGTCTCTGAGGACCAGCAGTTCTTGAAATTAGCCTTCAAAAGACCAGATGGATACAAGTACAGTCTCGGCCAATATGTGTTTATGAATGTGCCCTCTGTTTCGAAGTGGCAATGGCACCCATTTTCAATTGCTAGTTGCTCAAGGAGTGACAAGATTAAGTTCATCATCAAAAACACTGGTGATTGGACAGGTAAATTATTAACACAGTTTAATGAAATCCAAGATAAGCGTGTTCATAGAAGGAATCACCATGAGCTAAACCGTGATTTTGAATCCCTTTCTGTTGTTGGTGATGCTCAGGATCCTAAGTACCCTAAAATTAACCTAAGCCAACCGATTTCATCCCCTGTTCAACAATCCGTTTACAATTATAATGTTGTGTATGTGGCTGCAGGAGTCGGAATCACCACATTTTTAGGCTTTTTGGAACTCCAATTGCTAAAAGCTAGGAATGCTTCTGATAAAGGAGACACTGAAATTTGTAAGTTAGACAACAAGGAGGTCATCGACTTCATCTTCATATCAAGAGAGACGGAGAACATCAGGTGGATAGCTAAGTACATTAATGCCGCACTTACCTTACCTCAGATGACAAAGAAAGTTAAGTTTCATATTTATGTTACTCTGAAGGATGAGTCTAACGACTTGGCCTCCTTCTTGTTCTGGAGGGCTTTTGCTTTTCTTAATGAGAAACTGAAGAAAGCTCATAAGTTGTACTCGAGAGTAAAGATCCATTTGGGAAGACCTGATTTTGACACCTTATTTGATAAGATCCTTCATAAGAACACCTATCCAGAGCATTATGTGTATGCATGCGGCAGTTCAGGGCTGACTAATAATTTGGAGAAAATCTGCACTAAGATGACAGAGAATGGAACACATGTGAACTTTAACTATGAGATCTTTTAGCTAATACTTATATTGCATCGAAAATATAGGGATAATTCAATTATTTAAACTCGAAAAGGGGTTTTGGGGTTTTGGGGTTTTGGGG